TGAGGCAGCGATTTCCTCATCCAGGGACCCTCGGCTCCTGGCCGCTCCACCACACGCGACCCCCACCCCCACCCCCTGCACCCCCACCCTCCATCCAGCCCTGCCAGCTACCCGCTCCGGGCCCGCCCCACTCACAGCTCTCCGCCTTTGGGGACGCCTCCTGGGTGCCCGCGGGGACTTCCTTGAGGAACCTGGACGCACCAGCTCGAGCTGGAGGGGGCACAGGAGGTAAACCAAGGAGGCGAAGGGACCCAGTCTCCCACCAACTCAGCCCACGAGCCTCCCAGCGCAGCCCTGCGGACACCAGCGGGACGCGAATTGTGTCTGGACGGGTTGGGGCTCCGCGAGACAGATGGGACCCGGGCGACCTAGCAGAGGGGCCGGAGAGCGCAGAGCAGGCCGGTGCGGGGTGCAGGGGCCGGGCGCGGGGGCACTCACGCAGGCCACCACGTCCCTCCTCGCGGATGCCAGCAGCTCCAGAGTTGGGGCGACGCCGGGAAACAGCTCGGGGCTGGGCAGGCTGCTCAGCACGGCCTGGGCGTCCGAGAGGCCCCGGGCCACCAGGCGGAGCCGTGCGCACGACTGCGGAGACCTGGCGGAGTTAGAGACGCCGCGACCGCCGCCCTGTCCCCCACCCCCACCCCACCCCACGCCGACCCGCGGGCCTCACCCAGGGCAGCGGGGGAACCCTCCGTGGGCGGAAGGAGCAGTTCCGCGGCCTCCAGCTCAGCATCTCTTCCTCCTGGGCGGGACAATGGTGGGGCTGAGGCTGCGCCCCTCGCCTGTGCCCTGAAGTGCGGGGAAGTCGGGGATTCATTCCCGTGACTCGACTGTGTGGTGCAGGGGTCGTGTGTACTGTGCGCGGAGCCTCAGAGCTCCCCGAGGACGAGGACTGGAAAGGGGAATGAAATGCACCCCTTGCGGAGCGCTGCACCCCGACGTGAGCCGGGTCCGCCTGGGGGCGCCCTTTTGTCAGTGGCAGGAAGGTGCTTTCTGTGCTTAGGATGCAGCTGGTCAGAATTCACACCTGAGATCTGAGATGCGCGTGCGTGACGCTAGGATGCCAGGGCCCTCGGGATAGGGACCAGGATCCCGACCCTGGCGGGACCAGCGTCCCCTGGGACTGGGGGTCTGGGCATCACTCACGTAGTGGTCCTTCAGCGCCTTGACCGCCTTCAGCGCCCTGGGGTCCAACCAGCGGTAGTGAGAGAGGGAGCAGCGCCTGGGTTCGGTCACACCGGGGTCCGCCACCACGTTCACTGTCACCAAGACCCACAGCCCCACGGACACCGCGGCTGCACCATTGGGCCTCATCTCTGCTCCTGCACAAAGCCAGGGACGTCGGGCAGTCCGAGAGAAGGCCCCGGGTCCAGCCCCTGCCTCCTGTTAGACTGGCAGGGGGACGGATGTCAGGGGGCTGGCTGCGACCCCTCCTGCCCTCAGGCTTTCTCCCCTCACTGCTCACCTGCAATGTGCCCTCCGAGCTGGAGCTGGGCTTGCCTTCCTCTGTCCCCTGCCAGCTCTCCAGAGTGTTGTCCACCTTTGACAGCGGTGTCTGCACCTCCATGGCCGCTTTTATGCTCCTGACTGAGGAATGGCGAGCCGCTGGGCTTCCCCGTTCAGGTTAAGTTTTCGGAACATCAGCGCTGGACGCTGGCCCACTGGGATGCTGGCTTAGGCCTGAGGACTTTGCCTGCCTGTCCCTGGGTGCCAGCAATGGCTCTGCCCTCACCAGACTTATGCAACTCTTGTTTCTTTTTCTCTGGACATTTGTTTGTCTTCTCAGCCTGTATTGGTTTTTCTTTTGCACTCTAGGAATTAACCAAAAATACACGGTTTCCTTATCTTCCAAGGCACCTGGCAGAGGTGCTGGTAGAAGGATCTGCCTGGAGTTGGTACTGGGGGTTTCCAGCTTCTCTCTTTCATTACGTCTCTGCCTGTCTCTTTCTGTTTTCTATCTTTCTTTATCAGCATGATTATCCCCCTTGTGTTCTTGCTGGTATTTCCTCATCTAGGTTTTTGACAAACTCTCTCTGGTGTCCATAGTCTGTTATTAAATTACTAGAGGCCTGCTGCATGAAAATTCGTGCACTGGAGGAGGGTCTCTCAGCCCGACCTGCCCCCTCTCACAGTGCGGGAGCCCTCAAGGGTGGGAGGCGACCCGGCAATCAGGGGAAGGTGATGCCCCATCACACCTCTGCTGCTGCCACTTTCAGCAGTGCAAGCCTCAGCTGGCCCTGGTTACCTGAGCCTCAGGCAGCCCTGGGCAGCTGGGCAGCCCCACCTGAGGATTGCCTGCATCTTGGACGGCCCTGGGCAGCTGGAAAGCTGCCATCTGAGACTTGCCTGCACCTCAGGCCGGCCCTGGGTGGATGAGGTGCTGAGGGGACTGGGGGTCTCCGGAGGCAGACACATGAAGTGACCGGGCCTGCCAGGTGGTGGGCCCAGCCTTGCCCGGCACCTGCCGCCCCGGCGGGGCTGAGGGGACTGGGCGCTGCCATCTTGTGGCTGTGGGCACTGCCATCTTTGAGGGCGGGACAGTCCATTAGCATATTCCCTTCTTGTTGGCTGTGGGCGCCGCCATCTTTTGCAACAGTGTGAGGGTCAATTAGCATATTCCCTCTTTATTAAATAGGCTATTTCTTACTTTACCAGTTAATTTCTTACCATAGGGACACATCGTTAGGTGATTCCATCATGTGCGAGCATCGTAGAGTGTCCCTACACACACTTAGATGGTGCAGCCTAGGCTGTATGGTAGCCTATTGCTCCTTGGCTACAAACCTGTATAGCATATTACTGTATCAAATATTGTAGCAATTAAAACACAATGGTTTTTTATGTTTTCTAAACCTAGGAAAGGTACAGTAAGAATATGGTATAAAAAGATAAAAATTGGTTCACCTGTATAGGGGACTTACCATGAATGGAACTTGAAGGTCTTGATGTGTTGGTGAAATGGAGAAGTATGTTTGGAGAATAACAGACCTTTTAAGACTTTGCTTACTATTTGATTGTGCTCCCAGACATCCTCCTTTTATTGGTGATTCAGCCCAATATCAAGTAGTGTTTCTCCCTCCAAATGTCACCTCTTTGGTCCAGGCAACAGATCAAGGACTTATAGCAGCTCTTAAGGCCTACTACCTGAAGAGCTTTGCCCAGGCTATTGCTGCAACTGAGGAAGACACTGATACAACACCTGTGACTGTATCAAGAACTTTGCTTGGACTTGGGGTGATATCACCAAGGAGTGTATGACTGGCATCTGGAAGAAGACACTCAAGAGGTTGCCCTGGGTGAGTCAGTGAGTGAGTGGTGAGCGAATGTAAGGCCTAGGACAGTGGTCGGCAAACTGCGGCTCGAAGCCACATGCGGCTCTTTGGCCCCTTGAGTGTGACTCTTCCACAAAATACCGACTTCTGTGCATGGGCCACGAAGTTTCAATCGCACTGTACATGCGCGCCCGCACGTGGTATTTTGTGGAAGAGCCACACTCAAGGGGCCAAAGAGCCGCATGTGGCTCGCGAGCCGCAGTTTGCCGACCACTGGCCTAGGACATTGCTGTCCACTACTGTAGACTTCACAAACACTGCACACTCAGGCTACACTAAATTCATTTTTCTTCAATAATAAATTAACCTTAGTTTACTGTAACTTTTAGTTTATAAACTTTTAAAAAGAACTTTAACTTTTCTAGTCTTTTTAACAACACTTAGCTTAAAACACACATTGTACAGCTGTACAAAAATATGTTCTTTTTTATATCCTTATTCTGTAAGTTTTTTCTGTTTATTTGTTTTCTTTACTTTTTAAATGTTCTTGTTAAAAACTAAGACAGAAATGCACACATTACCCTAGGTCTACATTAGGGGTGGGGAACCTTTTTCCTGCCAACAGCCATTTGTGTATTTATAACATCATTCTCGGGCCAGTCAAAATTATCAACTTAAAAGTTACCTGCTATATTTGGTCTAATATTTAATGAACTAATTCCTAATGCCTTGGCAGGGCCAGACCAAGTGATTTCGTGGGCCTTCTACCGCCTTCGAACGTGATGTTCTCCACCCCTTGTCTACAGTCAGGCTCATCAATATCACTTTCTACCACCTCCACACCTCATCCCACTGGAAGGTCTTCTGGGTCAATAATACACATGGGGTTGATAGCAATGACTTCTTCTGGAATAACTTCCTGCTTCCTGAGGCTCTTCTTGAGGAGGTGTCAGTCATTTCAAAAATATGTCCATGATGCCTTGCTTGGTTTGTTTCTTTTTCATCATAGATTTGCTTGTAAGTAGATAATATATCATGAACATTCCTCTCTATGAAAACATTTCAGAGTTCAGGTCCATGTTTTTAAACCTGCTAAGGGGCTTGTGAGCTCTGCAAAAGCTTGTTAAAACCTTCACTGTGAATTTTGGGGGTTCATCTTCATTTTCTTCTCCTGCAGTTCCCTTTTCTCTTCTTCAGCCATGAGTTCCTGTTTCAGTTCCAACAACTCCTCATTAATCAGTTCCTAGGAACCACCTCAATATCACTCTCAATGTCAACCTCCCCCAACCCAGGTTAAGGTTGTTTGCCATCTTAATTGCAGCCTTGTGTATTTTTGCAACCTCATCATCCTTGGCAAATCCTTTGAAGTCATGGACTAACCTCTTGAGTGTCTTCTTCCAGATGCCAGTCATACAGTCCTTGGTGATATCACCCCAAGTCCAAGCAAAGTTCTTGATACAGTCACAGGTGTTGTATCAGTGTCTTCCTCAGTTGCAGCAATAGCCTGGGCAAAGCTCCTCAGGTAGTAGGCCTTAAGAGCTGCTATAAGTCTTTGATCTGTTGCCTGGACCAAAGAGGTGACATTTGGAGGGAGAAACACTACTTGATATTGGGCTGAATCACCAATAAAAGGAGGATGTCTGGGAGCACAATCAAATAGTAAGCAAAGTCTTGAAAGGTCTGTTATTCTCCAAACATACTTCTCCATTTTTCCAGCACAGCAATTCAGGAGGGCATCTTGAAAGAGGAGCTGGGTCATTCATGACTTTTGTACTGCTGTGGTCTGCGTGTTTGCCCCATTGATAGGTTGGTGTCTTAACAGGCAAAGATGATGGTATTGGTAGGAGGGATTATTAGGAGGTGATAACTCTGGAGGTGGAACCCTCAAGAATGGGATTAGTTCTCTTTTAAAAGGGAAACCATGGAGCTCCCTAGCACCTTCTACCATGTGAGGAGAACTTGGCCTCCTGTAAGAGTGCCCTCCTCTGACCATGCTGGAGCCCTGATCTTAGACTTCCCGGCCTCCAGAACTGAGAAATAAGCTTCTGCTGTTTACAAGCCACCCAGCCTGTGATGTTTTGTTATAGCAGCCCAACTGGTAAGAGACAAATACTGTCCTTATAGAAAGATTTCCTGTGACCTGCTGTTAGAGATGCCTATTCTATTACAAAAACTGCTTCAACAAACAGACTATGGAATCTCAGAAGGATGGTGGGGATGGGTGGGCAGAGGTGGGAAGAGATCAACCAAAGAACTTGTATGCATATATGAATAATCCATGGACACAGACATTAGGGTAGTGAAGTTTGGGGGCAAGGGAGGAGGGCAGGCTAGAAGGTGTCAAAGGAGCTGGGGGCAGGGGCAGGATATGTAATACTTTCAACAATAAAGATATTTTTTAAAGAATTTAACAACAACAAAAGCTCTGGAGAACTTTCTTATTATGAGTACAACTCAAACACGCTCTAGGAACTGGGTCACTCCTGCGTTACTGGTAGGAATGTGAAAAGGGTACAGCCAATTTGAAAACCAGCTTGGCCGTTTCTTATAAAACTAAACAGGCAACTGCTAGTCAACCCAACAGTTGCAGTCCTGAACATTTATTGCAGAGAAATAAAAATTTATGATTACCTAATAATCTAAATGCAGTGTTTATAGTGGCATTACTAGTAATTGTCCAAAATCTAGAAATGTCCTTCAGAAAGGGAATGGTTAAACAAATCTGGTGCTTCTATACCATGAAACAGGAATGAACAATTGATATACACAACAACCTAAATGAATATCCAGGGATATTCACTCAATAGTGTATGAATGATCCAGTTTCTCTGCATCCTCACCAACATTGGATGATGTCACTATTTTTTATTTTAGCCATATTGCTAGGTGTGTAATGATAACTCACTGTGGATTTAATTTGCATTCCTCTAATGGCTAATGGTATTGAGCACCTTTTCACATGCTATTTCCCGTCTGTGCAACCTCTTTGGTAAAATGTGTCTTCATGTCTTTTGTCCATCTTCTAATTGGATTGTTTAATTT